AGACAGGTAGACAGACAGACAGATAGGTAGTTAGACAGATAGAAAAACAGTGTCGACTGTGTATTCGTAGACAGACTGATCTCTTCTGCATATGACACATGATGTCTGCATTATACCGTAGTAGTATATGTCATGTTAGTTTAGTGCGTCTTGGCACCATATGTAAACTGCACAGTGGAGATCAAACCGCACTGGAGCCCAAGGACTTCTACCCGTGGGCCTGAAACTCAGAGCCCTGCACAAACAAAAAGGGTCTGAATAATTAGCTACAATCTTCCGTTTTGTCTTCACATAATGACACTGCAATACCCCAACCCTCACTACTTCCAGCGCGCCCAGCCCTTGCAAAGCTCCTCGAACCCGCGAGCCGACAGCAACGCAGTGTGGTATGCTGTAATATCATGCGCAATAGCATAGCATGCAATATGCTATGAGATAAGACGATATTGTAAAATACAAAGATGTAAACACAAAGCTTGTAAGCATAACAAAGCAAGAGACGAACGCAATGCAGCAGAAGATGATAAGCACTCCGAAATCTAACGAAACATGTTAAAACCAAACATGACCTAACATATCATAACACAACATGCCACAGCAATCTAAAAGCTAATATAACATGCAAGAGTACAATGTAACGTAGATAATACAGCAAAATATAGAAGAAATACAATGTGTTCTGACACTATAACATAACGCAATCTGGCTTTAGGTTACTCTGTATCTTAAAATATTGATAAATGCCACATGACATGATGTGATATCAAAAAGATATGACTTGGTACTTAATATGACATACTCAGATATGATATAATATAACAATGTGATACACAATGTGATAAAACATGATGTAGCATAGTAAAGTACAAGCAAGCTTTTCGAAAAAAACTGTGATAAGGCATAATGTAGTACAATACAGTACACGCTACCCTAATGTGGCCTAGCATAGTTGAATATAGTATACAAAATTAATCGTAGACAGAAAAACAAGTGTAACGTAGCATTAGATGGAAAAGTGTGACATGATACAGAACACCGTATAACATAGTACAGTGAGCTGTTGTATAAAGTAGTTTAAAGAGATGACAATAAATACGACAAGATAAGGCAGCACAAGATAGTCAGACAGAAGGAACATTCATATACAATACCGAACCAAAGTAAAATTATAATTTCAACGAGGTGAACCACCGTGGTACAGCATACAACAGTTCAGAATAACACACACCACAACACAAAACTGGGTGTCATGTAGCATGGTGCAATACAGTATGACACAGCACGAAATCACACAATACAGCTCAATATGGAAAATCAGACTGAAACAAGAAATCAGCATAATGTGCAATGCAGCTATATGACATAGTACACGATCATGCACAATCATGCAACAATGCAATGCAGAAAATGGAAGATAATGCGTATGACACCAGACAGCATGCTAAAACACAACGTAAGATTCCATATGATCGCGGAACAAAATACAATAGCGAGATTTAGCATAACACTGCGTTGCACATACACTATAGCACATTAGGACTTAACGTTATACAAGATCGGTACAATACCATAAGTCCATGTGTAATACAGTCTAACATAGTTTATTATGGTAAAGCTTTCCTCTACAAAATTCTACTGAAAAACATGGCACGATACCCCGCAATGTGCCATGATGCACTATAATACATTAAGACAAACTACATTATGTACATATAACACATAAAAACTGCTACAAACAATAATTAACTACAATGAACGGTAACACACGATCATATTTTGATCAGGTACGATAATATACGATAGTAAACGGCAATATACGATAACATACTGAAACGATAGTGCGCGAGTTTACGGTAGCACACTGAAATATACTATAATATGCTAAATTTCACTCTAATATACTAGAACATACTAGAATACAACATAATATACTGCAGCAAACTATAATATACTAACATATACTGCAACATAGCTGAGAACACAGCACTATACTGGCATACTGTATCACTTGCTATAGTGTGATATAATGTGATATGGTAAAGGCAGTTTAGTATACTACATCAGGATACAGTATAACATGTTATCGAATGATATTGGTTTATGCCGCATTATGCGTCACTGCAGTATACAATATAGATTCGTACAGCTACAAGCTCATAATACATAATGCAATGACGTACGAGACAATATAACACACTCTGATCTGGCATTTCGTTGTGTAAGATCGTGAAATACTGTGGGATATAGTCTAGTGTAGTATACAATATGCTGTACTACTCTATTTTGTGCCAAATCATTTTATATCCTGTTGTATGATGCCGTTGTCATGATATAACACATTTATGAAACCATACTCCGCTGTATTACTCATCATCTTTTGCTCGGTGATATCAAAAACCCAACTTTATAGCACGGACATAATGTTGGCTATGTTCCAGTATGCCAGTAGTACTGCATTATACTGTGAGAAATTGCGTTGTATGATCTTGTGTCATGATCTATTGTAGCTGTGTTATACCATGTTGTGCTATGCTTTATCATACGACATCATGATATGTCATATTATACATTGTATCATGTTTTAACGTATTGTACCATACTATATAATATCATATCATGTCATATCAAAATATAATTTGTTCTACAACATTATAAAACGTTATAATATGTTACACTGTAGGATGTTATGCGCTTTATTGCATGTGTTGTTTTATAAGCCGTCATATCATGCTCTGGCATACTATATCAAATTCGATCATACTTTGTCTCATGTCATCTGAAATCACTTACAATATGCCATACTGAAGTATATCACACTTTGTTATCATGATACGATGGTCTATAGTATGGTTTATTACGTGCCGTCACGTTGCAAGTTATTACTCTGTAATATAGTAGTATATTGTGTTGTGTTATATAACATTAGGTTCTGTCATATTACGTCATATTGCGTTATGATATGTCATATCATGTTATACTCTGTTATGTTGTGTTAAGCTGCAATACATTACTTTCTATCGTGTTTTCTTATTGTATTGTATTACGTTATTTGAATTTCTCCTACTATAGTATGACACATCAAGGCATAGTAAACCATACCCCTCCCTCTGTACCGCCTGCTGGTGTTGAAGACTTGAGCCGTCACGGGCACACCCATGGCTATGATGGGTGCAAAATCTGCCATCCTGAGTTCAAGTCTTCGAAGGTGCAACAGCGGGCAGTTGATGTCGAGAGCTGGAGGGCTGCAAGGAGTGGCGCTGAGCGGCCTGTGGCTGTAAAGAACGCGACGGAGCTTAGGTCTGACGAAGCTGCCGGCAGAACCCAGTTCAAGGCTGAAGGGTACCCAATCCCTTCGAACCCTCTGAGAGAGCCCTGACCCTGTAAAAAGGGGCCTCAACCATGAGAATAGGAGTTTGGGGTATAGTAGACTCTGAATACGTAACCGAAAGCATAAGGTTTTGGGTCATGTTGTCTGATGGTTCTAAGGGGCCTACCGGGAATACTGTCAGTACTCTTCGACCCCTGCATTATTCACTCACTCTCCCCGACGGGGCGCATCTGCCGAGCTTGGGCAACCACGTGGAGCCTTTGAAGAGCCAGGAAGGATGGTGGGGGGGCTACAGTAAGGGGCCCAGGGTTTAGGGATTAGTGTTTACGAGCGGGCTTCGGGTGGATTCTTCTGCTCCGCTCTACTAAGTCTTGCAGCTCTTGCAAAAAGTCAATCAGTGAGAGGCTCGATTGACTGATTCGGGTTCTGGGTATATTCTATATAATTACATATATATATATATATATACACGGTTTGCAAAAGACTGGTACACTACCCTGCAGAAACAAACATCATACCCTTAAAGCTCTTAAACAGATCCTGACAAACTTTATAAAACCCGAAGACAACCCGATAAAGCCCACAAAACCACAAAAAACTCCTCAAGCAAAGGCCCGCGCTCTCCCATGAGATCTGCCTTGGACAGGAGGCTCAAACGGGTTTCGGGTTTCGGGTTGCTTAAGCCCTAAGCCCTAAACCGTATCAAGAGGCGTCGGTTTCGGCTTCAGTGGCTTTTGGTCGTGTTTTCTTTTTGTTCCGGCTTTTGGGGTTTAGGCGGTTTAGGTTTGGGATTTGGGGTTGGGGCTGTAGGATTTAGGAGGTTGGGGTGCGGGGCTTCAGGAGTGGAGTTTAGGGAGGTGGGTTTAGATGTAGGGTTTGGCATTTAGGCCAGGGAACAACTACAATATGGTTTGGGGTGGTATTCTACAATGTAGCTATATAGAGGCTCGAAAGGGTTTAGTTTAGGCCTTTGGGGCTTCGTTGCTTTGGCTTTGCTGTGTTTACTCCCAAGATTTTCATCCAAGATACCAGCCCGCCCAAACGCCCTCCACACCCCCAGAGGCCCCTGAGCCACCCATAAGATGTGTTCAGCTGGTTTCTGGGAGCTGGACCAGGGGGGGTGGGAACAAGCCTTGCCGAAGAGGGATTGCTGGTAGATCCCTTTTCCCGTCCCGGAAGGACTGTGCCGAGGTGGGCTTTCCAAATGGGCCGCTTCGGGTCCAAAGTTGCCTTCACTCACAAAAACCAAATTCATCGCTGAACCCGAAGCAGCTGATCCTGATCCCAGGTCAACATTAAAGGAGATCGTGGACCCCTACAGAAGAAATGGGCAAAGAAAAACATGAGCTAACAGAAGATCCGACGGTAAAGCCCAACAAAAGGCAGAAACTGGAAGAAACTCTAACGCTGTTGAGTTTGGGGCTTGGGCCTTTTTAGTCCTCAGGATGGGACTTTCCGAACCATCCACCGGCCCCCAAAAGCCTTTGGGGTTTAGGGTTTAGGGTTTAGGGTTTAGGGTTTAGGGTTTAGGGTTTAGAATGCCCAAGTCCAGCCCATCAGCCTTTCCAAACCCTCCAGCCTGCATGGACACTGGCCCTGAACCCTGAACAACCCCTGCTTCAGCCCTAGGCCCTGCACCCTTATAACCCTGTAACCCTAGACCCTGAAACCCTAAATCCTAAATCCCAACTGCCGAATCCAGAGGACTCTACACTCTCAAGCCTGGCATCGGCCCTACATCCTAAACTCAGGGTTTAAGTTTAGGGCTCAGGGCTGTGAGGCTAAACCCCACACTCCGAATCCTCCCCTTTCGTGGATTTACGATTTTTTTGGGGCGTTTCGGGTGCCTTTGGGCCTAGGGCGTAAACCCTAAACCCTAAACGGCACTTCACCAGGGCCGGAATACGTAGGGACGTCCGCGAGGGCTGGTCAGGAGCAGGCCAGACCCTGACGTATGCTGAGAGCTCCTGGGCGTTTAGGGTTTAGGGTTTAGGGCTTGGGGATTTAAGGTTTAGGGTTTAGGGTTTAGGGTTTAGGGGTTAGGGTAGGCCATAATAAATAGAATTGGGTTTTGGGGGGGCCCATTATAGTATAATTATAATAAGGAACCCCCAAAATAGTATAGGTAATTATTTAGGCCGCTATATTAGGCTTTGGGGTTCAGGCTGCAATATAGGGGTCTGGTAAGAATTACAATAAGGCTTCTGGGTTACATTAGACTCTACTTCGTAGTAAGGACTACACTGGGATACTATTACACACTGATTCTTCTACACACTGATTCTTCCGATCCCTTTTCTGTTTCGGTCGGGGTTGGGGAGTGTAGGGCTCCACAGCTTAGCCTAGCGCTGAGAGCCAGCTGGGCTCAGGACGTTGATGGTGTTAGCTTGCGGATTCCTTGGCCGGGTCGGCCCTTTGGAGCCTTTGAATTTAGGGTTTAGGGTTTAGGGCCCCTCGGCCCAACAAGGGAAAACAGAAGATCTCCCAAAGGCCTACCTAGTTGAAGACCCAAAACCCCGGGACCCACTCCGGTCCCTGCTTTCGGCCACTAGATCTCCTGAAAGCCTTTCAATGATTTCGAGGAGCTTTGGACATGATAGCCTGAACTTCTACGAGTGTTGGATCACTCTAAGGGAGCCTCAAATCCTGCACACCGCCAAAACCAGAACTCGTGGAGCGAAGCCCAGAAGCCCTCACTCCCAAGGCCCACTATGCATGAAGCAGGTTTGGGGCTGAGGGAAGAGCATGAAGCTCTCAGTCTCGGGCAGGTGGCAAAATCAGGAACACTCCCTGCTTGCAGTGCATCCCGGGTTCGGTCTAGATCCCACTTCAAGACGAAAGTCGAAACCCTCAGAAATCACGGCCCACGGAATCGTGAATTAGGGTCGAAAAAGTCCCAAGATAAGCTCGCCTATGTTCGAAGAAGCCTCAACAAGCTATAATCCAGGGCAAGCCCTGAAAAAGCCCAGCTGTGCATTTAGAGCTTCGTTTGAAGGCACCACCCCCCCCCCCCCCCCC